TCACTGACCTTTGCATTTGTCCTGGTTCTGGCTTGGACAGGGTTAAGTTTTGCAGCAGGGGTGAGCAACTGGATATGAATTGTACACTCTGCTGTTCCTATCACTGTTGTTAGTTCCTTATTTCACTGCTGTTTCTAGTAAATTGTTCTTATCTCAACCTGTGATCTTTAGCTCTGTGTGCCTCCAGCTGTCATTTCCAGCCCTCCACAGGGGAAGAGAGGGAGCTGGAGGAGGGGTGAGAAAGCTTGGTGGTCTGGGTATTTCAGTGGGAATACAAAATTGGGGAATACCATTCCTAAACCATGACAGCACTGCAGAGCAGAGCTGCTGAGCACTCATATCCATCTAGGATAGGATGGATAGGATCCAGCTCTCTGCAAGGCCTTGTCCCTCAAGAGTGAACAGCATCTCTCAGTTTGGCATTGTCAGCAAACTTGCAAATGGTGCATTCAGCTCCTGCATCCAGCCCACTGATAAATATATTGAACAGAACTGGCCCTGGAATTAAGCCTTGAGGAGCACCACTGGTCACTCATCACCAGGCAGCAGCAGTCTTCTTCCCTTTCACTACAACCCTTTGAGCCCTGCCCTTCAGCCAGTTCCAGGCTGAGCAGCTCATGCTGTTGCTTGTGATCACCAGAGCAGGTACTCGGGAAGTACCATCAGAAGTGGGAAATGTAAGATTAGAGGCCAGCAGGGTAGGAAGGAGAATTAAAAAGACAGGGCAGGGAAAGGTTGGCTAAAAGACTGGACCAGAAAGAACAGGAGGTGTACCAGTGCTCAAGTGTGACAGAAACACCAGTGGGGGTTTGATTAATTTAGGGCAAGGGAAAAGAGGAAACGCAGCAAGGGACTGCTTAGGAAACACATTGCACAGGAGTGGCCATCCCTGCCAGGCAGAAGACCCTGGCAAACCCTTGCTGTGCCCAACAGTGAAAGCTCTGAGCACACACAGCACAGGGGACATGTGCCCAGAAAACCCTGCTGAGCTGGCTCTGTGCTCAGCTCACCGCTGGCACAGGAGCTCAGCTGGCAGCAAGGGGGAGCACGCACACACTGCCCACCAAAACAGTGCAGGGCTGCAGGTCCTCAGTGCACCAACTGCATGACACAATTCCAGGCACAGCGTTCTGCTCCTGGAAACAGTGATTCTGTTCTTTACACATTGAAACCAGCTGCTCCAAGACAGAAAAATCCATCCACCAAGAACAAGACCACCCTAGTAGGAGTGCATTACAGTAAGATGGATACAGGAGAAACAATGCCAGCTCAGAAAAGTTTTTGCAACAGATCCAAACATTTGGCACACATAGGACACACCACCCTTGTGCTGCTTGCAGTGGCAGAGTCACTCACTGCAGCACCAAGGATGCAGTGGGACCCAGGTGTGAAGGATGGGCAGTGAGCAGACTGGTGGGAGGAACGAGTGCAGCGTGTCAGCAGAGTCATGGCGAAACCTGGCAGGAACACAGGAGGTGATAGAACACCAGCAGTAACACCAATGACACCACAGAAGGTCCAAGAGGCACAGCATCACTGACCTTTTCATGCAGATCCATCATAATTGACTGAACAGTCAGGTTTTCTATGTAGGCTGCTAGGTGGTTGCATTTACCAAGTGCAGCAAGAGACCAGGAAAATTAATTTCTACTGAAAGCTTGAGGCCCCTTTTCCAAGACTGCCTCACAATATTTGCTTCAAGTGATTTAACAACTGCTATGGAAGACAATACTCTTTGCCTTGAAAGGGAAAAGTTAACTTTGATTGAAATAGGATAAAACTCCAAATTAGGGCAGATTTACAAGAGCTCAAACTGCACTTACAACTTTTTATTCAAAGCAGCTTGTAGATTCCCAAGTCATGCCTCTGATACCTGATATTTTATATTACCAAGTGCATGTTTGCTTTTTATTATAGTTGTAACCCAGTATTGGTACTGGCACAGAAGTTAAGCTTGATGACAGCAATTTTTTATCAGCTGTATAAATACTCTGAAAAAAGTAAATCAAGCCTGAAAGAAAGCAAATATACTGTATCCTGAGAAGACCAACTTGAATTCTATGCTGAACATAAACACAATTTTAACAGTCCCATGTTTAGTCATTCAGCAGTACAATAAAGGAATTACCAAATACAAAGTAAAGAGGAATTTAACTTTAAGTCTGTTTTTATTGTGATAACATTGTTCTGAACACCAATAAACATTGCACTGAAGTGTGGGTTGCTGTACCCAAGACAGTCCAGTCTTAACAAAAACCACTGTATTGGTATGATCACAGATTTGACATTTTAAACACACTACCTTATTAGTGATTGGGTTGCTTAATAATCAAGTATTCCACATCTTCAAGATAAAAATGAAACAAATGACTGAAGAGAGTTTTCCCACCCTCAAAATAAACCAACATTTTAACTTTCATCTGGAAGTAATTAACACTGTAAAAAAGTCCCAAACAATTCCTTTCTATTTAGCAAACTTTAACTCTGGAACTTAAAATTTCTTCAGACAAAAGTGACACTTTAAAGGCATCTCAAATTCTATATCTGTGATGTTTCACAAGGAATTTGCATTACAGTAATTTAAACAACTCATCCATATGACAGCATTTTCTAGAAGACTTGCATGAAATATTAACATGAAATCTCATCTCTTTCACGTTTACCATAAACAGATTCAGAGTTTGCTTCAGAAGTCCCATAATGGAGTTGACACAAGTGTTAAAACTTTTCCAGTTGAAAAGAAAAAAAAAGGGTTTTGGAAGGCATATACCGATGACAGAAAGTTAAGAAGACATGAGCCAGGATTGCACATGCACTTGTACACTGTTGGGAATGAAAGCCCAATCTTCTGAAGTACAAACATGCTCGGTACAGTAAATAAATTAAAAAAATGAAATCCAGAAATGCATACCCTTTAAACTGCTGATCTTTAAATCATTATACAAACGGGTAATGTCCGAGTCACTAACAAGTTTTGAATTGCAATGTTCCTTATTTACTCCCAGACAGGTGTCATTGACTCAGCCTTTGAGGGCTTCCAACGCTAAGAGGATCTGCATCTTCAACAACACAGTCTTAACAACAGGGGTGTATGTGTGCCCACAGCCAGGCACACTTAGAAGTTCCTCTTTCACAGAAAGAATGATGTAGCTTGCGCTAATTTTACACCAATATAGCACAACTTGTTCTCAAACATTCGTTTCAGGCCACTTCTCTCCACTAAGGTAACAAAGGTCAAGCTAACACATAATTCTTATTTACCCCCTCCACGTTCATGTTGTGGCACAAGCCCACAGCTTGATAGCAACGAGATGTCTGCTCTAGAGTCAGTAAAGTGCCCAGCAGCCCCGAGAACACAGGTACACAACGACAGGCCCCATATTCTGTCCCTAAATGGGGTTAACAAACAATCTGAAAAGCTTCAAATACAAGCCAGAGTTAGAAAAACCAAACCCCCTGCCCTACTCGTATCAGAAAGACTCAGCAACATTTACATTTTATCAAAAAACAAATATCAAACTGTAGCTGTTACAGAGAAAAACCAATCTGTTGTTTTAATTAAGCAACCTTTTGGACACTCCTACAATGCAAAGTGACATGCTAGCAGAATGAGGAGCTCTCAACAAAACTCACACAACCCCCATGTTCATACCAGCTGAAAGCACATGTATTTGGAAATATACCTGATACTATTTTTTTCCACACTTCTCATTTACTCAAGACCCCACCTTGAAATCCACAGCTTATCTTTACAACAGTCTGAAAAGCTGAAGGGAATTGAAGGGGGAAAAAAAAGTGAAAAAAGACTATTAACCCAAAAAGACACAGCCAAACCATGATAACAATCTGTCCCATTTGGGAACTCATCATGGTTTCATGAAGTGCTTTTATTTTTAGAAAAGCTGTGTAATACCAGGGCTACCAAGAGTAGACTTAAGCATGGTAAAGCAAATTTTGACAGCCACAAAAGACTGTTTGAGGAAAGGCTGCTTCACTTCCTTTATGCAAAATAGAATCTTTAGATATAATATTTAATCTTGTAATTAAAATACTTTATTATGTTGGATTCTTATTTATTAATTCTAAAGTATTTAAGTGACTTAAAAGCTCAAATCACATTGATATTCAAAGCACTTGGTGATCATGAAAATTTTAGTTTCTAATGAAATCTATGGGATAAAAAGTAAGAAAAGGGGGAAAAAATACATGGAATGATGTTTGCAAGCTTCTGACATTGAAAAAAAAAATACAAGAAAAAAGTAGTAAAATATCCTTTGAGTTGAATCCTGTGATTCAACTCTCTATTAATGACGGAGTAGATTGGTGACCAAGAACCACAGAAGTTGTTCTCACAGTACAAAAATGAGGATGCCTTTCAATTCACTGACACGTATGACACACCATGACAAGTAAGTTTTTTTATACCACTCTCCTTCTCCTGCTGTGAAAGAGATTCCAAGTTGATTTTGCTTGCCTCCACTCATTATCCAGTGTTTTATAAATGCAGAAATACACAAGAATTTTATAATTGTGGGGGGGGGGGGAAGTAATTTCATTTATACAGTGATTTATAAATGCCCCCCCTGAGCAGTTCACCAATTGTCCAGAGTTAGCTGATGTTACATCAGAACTGAGGGTTAGGACAGCCTGACAATGGAGGAAAAAATACTCCTGGAGGGGTGTAAAATCCTCTAAATGTCTGCTTTTGCAGGTAGCAAAACCGAGTGATCTGGTGTTTAAATGACTGTAGTCCTTAAGCCCTCTGGGCTGGTGGAATGATATATTCTCACATAGTTTTGTCCAAAAGAAGTTAAATGCACTAATTCAACTTAAAAAGCAGCCACCTTTGCCTTCAAGTACTTTTGCAGAAAGTCAATTAGCTGCTTTTATAGCTGATAAACACCAGAATTGGAATGTAATTTGTTCACAGGCTCTGACTGGAACCTGAGGAATGACCAGCATGATGTTTGCAAATAACCCAAAACTTCTTAAAAAGAAAAAAAAAAAAGGAAAAAAAAAAAGGAAAAAAAAAAAGGAAAAAAAAGTTTTATTCTGCTCTGCAGCATTTAACCATTCTCACAGCTGGAACCTCACTACTGAGTTGCATTTTCTTCCAGCTACTGAAAACCTGCAATACAGAAGTCTGGAAAGACCTGCAGTAGGCAATTAAAAAATTAAATACATAATTATTTTTTAGTATTGCAATTCCCTGAATATAATCTATACATACACGTTTTACTGGCCTACACAGCATACACACACATACACATTATATCTGTGCTGAAAAAGGAAATAAAAAATGCCAGTTCCCCAACTCTTACAGAAACGTTCCAAGATTTTTCTTGATGAAAATTTAACATGACACAGCACAGCCTGAAAATAACAAAAGCCATACAAGTGTCTGAAGACAACTTTCATTTTTACAAGCTCATGAAGTAGTTTTAACATTGTGTGTAAAAAAAAAAAGTAATAAGCAGAGTTAGTTCGAGTGTGATTTGTACAAGCCCAGTCTTGTACATGTAACAAAAGGCATATTTACATTTAAAGAGGAATTTTATGTCTTCAGAATCTGCCAGGCTAGCAAGGTCTGTACATTTTCTGTATTCTAGCTGAGAAAGAGCACAGTGGTCTTAGGCTCTGGCTCCTTTCAAAAATGGCCTAAATGCCCACCTGAACATTAAACCACATTTTTCATTAATAGGTCTGACATTCTATTTGGCAGTTTCCATACACTTTTTGGCTTCATTTTAGAAAATATACTTAAGACAACATAAAAAGAATAATCTGTGTTTACAATAAGGTCTGTATTAATGAAAATGCAAAGTCATATTTTACCTCAGTATTTAGTTGCCCTGAAGCACTTGGGTACCATGACCATCAATGACAGGCCAATCTCAAGTGCCATAGAACAGGTATACAATAACAAACAATAAACAAACAAACACAAAAACCAACACACCCTCCCACAAAAAAAAAAAAGAAAGACAGTAGCTTTGCATTTTCTTTGTTTTAAACCAATGAAATTAAAATGATTTCTTTAGTAAGACTTACGGTACCAATATATAAATTAGCATCCTCATTAAGAAAGTTCTTCACATTAAACTGAAGTTGAGTAGCTTAGTATGAAATTCCATCTCCTGGTGAGAAGTACTTTTCAGGCCAGGTCATCCATGTTAAGGTCAGGAAGAGGCTCCCTCCAGTAGCAGAAAGAGCTGAATTCTGGGCACGGAAATGCAGAATTCTGTTCTTTATTAATCAATGGGAACACATATTCCACAAGCTCGCTTAGTCTGTAATACCTGTATTAAAGGAGAAGAAAGACCATTATTTAACAGTCTAGTTACTGTTCAGCTGTAGTCAAAAGCAGCTTTAGAAGTCCAGACCAGAAAATTCTAGTCAAATAAGGCCCCACTACCACAAAAGTGATTTTCAACTCTTATTTTTCCAATTTTCATTTTGAAAAGTTTCGTTCAAGTATCAAAAGCTCTAAGTTTCCAGCAAATAAGATTTTCCACATTTCACATGTAAAAGGAGATCACAGTCATAAATGCAATTATTTTAAAATCCCATTTCTAAACACTTTGTTCAGTTGAAATAACAAAAATGGTCTTACGAAGACTTGTTTCCCTTAGTCTGTTCTTGGATCAGTTCACCCTTTGGATTCACAGTAAATATCCTGCAGTCTGGAACTCCCACTTGCATGTAGGCATATACATCCTGCAAAAGCACCAATACAAGTACATGCTTCAACATTTTCTTATTGAATGTGGTAACAAGCAATTTATCAATGGAGTGAGAAAAGCTGATCCAAAAAGGCTACAGTAAAACTGCCCCTTAAAAAAGGCCCTTGAACAACAGTAAAAAAACCCAACCCCCAAAACATGCACACACTATAAAAAAGTATTTCCCCTGCCCCCAAACACTTAATTCTTGTGCCCAAGCCTAGGACCACAAACATGCACAAAGTCTACACCACACCACTCCCTGTGACAATATTCTTCTTACAATACCCCTCTCTCACTTAATTACAGAAGCACTGAACTGCAGAGAAAATAGAGGAACCATACAACCAGAAAAGGGATTCAAGACTGTAAAGCACTGAATTAATGCTCTTAGGTCACAAAGCAGTCAAAAATACTTTAAAAGTATTCAGAAAGGTGGCACATAATTATTAAAGTGAGAATCCTAATGCATCTTTGTAACCTTTCACATATAAGCAGTTGTAGCAACTTTTACTTAAGGTATCTGCATGTGGCTTTTCCCCACCAAACCCATAAAAAAGCAGCAGTGTGCCATTTCCATATTCAAATTTTCATAAACACAAAAAGAAAAGCCTGTTTGTTTTGCTTCTCAAGTACATGCATTTTAACCATTCAGTTAGAAAGGGGCACTTACATTGGGCCTGTTTCCAAAAGCAGCATAGAAAGGCTGTTTGCTGGGAGCAAACAAATTCTTGATATCATTCAAACATTCAATTTTGAACTTTTCAGGCTTCTTTTCTATGACTTCCCTAAAATAAAATTTCAACAGTCAAACTCTAAATCATGATTTGATAAAAGGTATCCTCCTTTCCCCATTTATCTGGTATTTATATTCTCATTGCTTCCTGTTGCTAGCACTGGTAGTTATAGAGACAGTGCTAAGTAGCTCTCCAAGAACAATACAAGAAACAATCACACATTCCCTCTTTTCCAACACCTACAGTAAAAAAACCAGATGAATACTGTGCATAGGCTAAGTATGAATGGAAATGGAATTCCCAGCTGTGAATGCAGCTTTTCTGTAGCTTACTATCTGAATCAGAAGATCTAATCAACTGCACATAAATATACTTGTTACAACTCCTATCTCTGACAGAAGTGCGTAAAACCCATTACATTAATGGAGGTTATTGTCATTGCTAGCCATGACAAAATAAAAAAAAAAATAAACAAAAAAGCCCAACAAAACTTAAATAGACAAAATCCCCTCCACAAACAACCAACCCCAAATACCTGTCCCTTATTAGCTCCTCCCATCAAGAATAGGCAGACTATGGCTGGTCCAAAAGATCAACTTGGTTGAACCATACCTAAATTCCATACTTTTTTTAAGCAGCAGTATATGGAGCAATCCCAAAACCACAAGATCATTTCACATTACAGCCTATATTCCCCAGATTTTTTTTTCTTTTCTTTCTATCCTGTGTAGTAACAATGCACTGCAAACCTTGAGGATATACTTGAAAAAGACAAAAATGTACTGATATAAACAGAACCTAAGAGCCATCAGTCATGGACTAGATGAATAAAGAGAAGGAAAAATGAGTTCTTCTTGGACTGGTATGTTGTGTTTTGAAGCCATTTCTAACATGCCCACAGGAACAGAAGTATACATGTGAAATTCAGACAAAACAGAGTTTTTAAATGATCACTAGAGGGACATCAAGTCTCAGTAGCAAATATAGTCCAGAGTGGAACATTTTGTTACAGCTGTAATGCCAAATACTTTTAATCTCCTCTTTCTGAGAAACGGGGAGGGAACTGATACAGGAAATCCCACGTGCTTACCTATGAAAGGCAGAAAACAAACTGCTGGGGGACAGCATGAGAGGGCCCCTGGGGAGAATTGTTCCTTTGTCATTCACCCAGTGCAGGTATCCTCTGGTGATATCTGCCATCCCAATGGCACGGGCAGAACAGTACAGGAACTTGTAGCCATTTCTAGAAAATAAATTACCAGCTTAGTTCATATTCCTGCTAAAGTTTCTTTGCAAAGGGAAGTATACAATTATAGCAATGTCCAGAGGCACCAGTTTAGGTACTGAATTGCTGCAGAGCTCTGCACACACACAAGGAAAAGACTTTTCTATTGTTAAAAGAATCTGCAAGGCATGTAGTAGTTTAAATACACAACTTAATCAAAACTGAGAAACAGGAAGTGCAAACATAATAGGGATGGTAAAAGTCAGAAGACACAATTAGGTAGACTAGACAGTGTTTAAATAAGTGCCACACTGGTTTTATTCAGCTTCTTTCAGCCCAGCTGTAGGATGACAGCAATTATTTAAATTATCTGCATCACAAAATAATGGGTGCCAGATCTCCTGTCTTTTTCACGTTGTTGGCAGAATTTGCAGTGCAGAGTGAACGATGGATAACAACAAGCATTCATTAAGCCCCTAAATTCTTCCTGCAGACTTTGTATGTTCCTCTGTTCATCTGTTACACAGATTTGTATACAGTTACTGCATGCACAAAAGGCTTGAGTGTTTATGTGCATTTTCAAAGACTTGATTCAATTTGGCAAATAATTCCAGAACTGCTCTTCTGTTATGCACTGAATAAACAAAAACACCCACCAAAGCCACCCAAACAAAACCCAACAAAACAGTAACATTCATGTTACCTCCCATGAAGCACAAGGGGCCACATGAAGGCCAACAATACATCCTAAGACCCCAAATATTTTTGTGAAAAAAGACTACTAAAAAACAAAGACAAAAAGTTGATTATTTTAATTTAATTCTGAAGTTTCTAACAGTTGGTCATCCTCAGTTAGCAAGTTTTATTTCTGGCATCACTGTATTTGAAATAAGTTGTTCCACAACATAAAATCTAACCTAAGGAGCATTCACCTGACTTTGGAAGCAAACTCATCACACCAGAAAACACTAATGCATTGGAAGGACACTATTTAGTTTAAAATTTATGCCATATGATATTTCTGAAAGGCTTAGTGACCAACCTGAGTCAGTGGAAAACAGACATGCATGCTTGAGAAATTATTTCTATTATGGTTCTCTTTAAGTCATGAAAATATTACACACAGTTTTTAAAAGCTACAATGCAGAAAAAAAATGTCTGAGAAGGGAGCTAGTAATAGTGGTGGCTTGCATTCCTGTAAAAGTATAGATCTGTGGAAAGAGCTTAGTTTCATTTGTGTATGACACAAGTTGCTCACTCCAGCATTTTGACCAGTTAATTTTAATAAACTGAGTAATTTTTAACAACTATCCAATTACTTATACATTAATTCCCATATTCCAGAAAATCCTACTTGTTTCATAGATTGCATACTCACTCGTTTATGGAATGATAGAGTTTTGCAATGCCTTGATGAGTCCAGTCCTTGCCAAACTGAGGGAGGATATGCCCCAAAGCATCAGACCTAAAAGGAGAATCAAAGTTACATGACACGTGGTGTATGAGTTTTGTTATGGACAACCACTAATGAACATACAATTTAGAAAGAATATTTACAGAAATATTTCTGAAGGTCCTAACTATTTAAAAAGAGAATTAATAAACAGTCCAGACAGAGCAATTAGTGGGGTCATACAATACAAGTCAGTTTCCAAGTTACCCTGTGGATGAAGAAGTAGTTGAATAGAGGCAACAATCACACGGTAAACGTTATCATCTTGGCATTAGTCTTTTAAAATATATTTTCTAGTCTACTTCAAAGGCAAGTACTAATTAAAATAAAAAGCAATGTTATTAAGAAACATCCTTTAATAGCTGTCTTAAATAAAGCTTCTTTACCTTGTTTTGAAAAGCAGGATAGGATCAATAAAGCAAGATTTAAAAAAAAACAAAAACAAACAAACAAAGAAAATCCCCTAAGATACTTACTTGGTGATTGTTCCATCAATGTCTGATATGATGATTTTATCATTCCAGTTCCAGAGGTATATTGTCCCTGCACAACGGCAAGTCCCTTGGTACTGGGTCGTAATACTAAATACAACATCATTAGGGCCATCTCTGAGCTTCAACTTTGCCTGTAGAACAAAAGTAAATGAAAATATAAGTTGCCCGACCTTTAGAATTTTTATGATTTTGGAATCATAAATGAGCTGCACAAAATGGCTCATACAGTCTTCCTTGTCTATCTTGATTAACTCATCAGAAAGTGAACCATGGTTTAACACAGGCACAGTTCTGCTGTCCAAGTCTGTTGCAGCCTGGTTACATGTGTATGCCCACAGTTCTTGTACTGCCTACAGCAGCAGGTATTTCATGCTCTGCCACTTTAATTCCTGCACTACAGCAGACTTGCAGCACTGTCAAACTGAACTCCCAGTTTGCCATGAGACATAACAGTATTTTTTACTTAGTAGATGCTTTCCTCAAAATCCTTCTCTGATGAAAATCATACATTTAGGCAGTAGCAGAACTAAGTTTTAAGTTAAGTTAGACCACAGTGAATAAACTGCACACCAATTTAAATGTATGTTATTACACAGATGTGCAGATCCCAGGATATCCAAACTGCAGAAGCAAACAATGCCACTTTTCTGGCAACATCTTAAGTTTGATTATAGAACTTCATAAGAAATTACTATTTTTATAATCCAAACAGATTCTTAAAAAAAACAACAGAAAAAATATCAGAAATTCCCTGCAGCTGCCTACCCTTGCACAGGAATACATGTTAAATTTCTTTTTAAAGAAATTTTTTTAAGGATTTTGAATCATCCTATGCACAAGACAGGCATGCCACTTACTATCTGGTCTGAAGACAGTCTAAGTGACTTCTTATAAGATGGAACGTTCCCATGGGGTGGATGTTCTGCTGGGGCAGAATCCATTTTCAGGGATTCCTTCAACTCCTGGGATGCTTCATCACTAGAAGAATCATCCTCTGGAGGCCTAACATGACATCAACCAGAATAAATGTAAGCTACATAAAATCCTTCTTTAACAGAGTAAGATGCTTATGCCAGAGTAATTTCTGCTGAGGATTTGCTGCACAAACTAAGGAAGTCTAAGGTCTAATGAATGCCCAGATAAAGCCAGTACATGCCAGTAAGCAAGTAAGACTTGGAATGCCAGTACTGATGGAGCTCTAAACATGACTATTCCAGCTGGCTCCACACACAATGGGTTTAGTAGAGAGACAGTGTCAGGTGGTCACTAAATACTGTGTTGATGAGTTAGGCAAACTGCAGATGAAAAGGGACACTGAACGGGTAGCAGGGCTTCATTTTTAAAAAAAGCTGCCTCAGTTACTATGGCATTTAAACTGTGGGTGTTAGTGGAGCAGCTCACCTTTAAGGTTATTCACAGACTTATTTTCCTGCTCATTAGAGATTTCAGGATTAAAAGCAGCATTTAGTTTCTCTGAAGTATTAAATCACAATATATTTAGTTCTTTAAACTTTTAAGAAACCAACATTTACAAGTACCTTTGCAAAATCATGCAAGAATATGCATATGCATAATAAATACCCTAGAATGGGAGAGTTTTGTGCTTTTAAGCAATCATAGCTGTCTACCACAACTTGGGCAACATGTGAACTGTGATGAATACTATTTTATTGTTTCAATTATTTAACGTTACAAAAAATTCCACATGGTTCAAATTATTAATACAATATTAGGCCTTCACAAAAGAAAAAAAAGTATTACAAAGTGTATCAGAAACAATATAACTGTATTTACAGAGCGGTGGCCTATTGACAAAGGTACCATGTATGTAGTTGTTCTGTCACTTCTGTTATGATTTAAGAAATAAACACAACAGCATTTAGGAATTAATTGTAGTGTATTTCTAGTTCCTACAATGTTTGCTGTCACATTATTTTGCTGAGTTGTTTGCTATACACATCTGGTTCCTCTTCAGTAGCTTACATGTTTTTTCCCACAGTACATTACTACTGAATTCTTCACTCAAAAAAAGAAAAAAAAAAAAAGGAAAAAAGACACTATTCAGTCCACAGATAAGTCTTCAGACAGGAACACACCTACTATTAACTTGCTCTTTTATAGTTGCTGGCAGTTCATTTGCTCTTTGCGTCTCAGTTTTCCCCTCTTTTGCCTCTGGTATCTAAAGCAACATGATAATAAAGAATATATTGACATTTTAGGCATTTTAAACAAATCCAAGTTAAAAACAGCTACCAAATTAGTACATAAACTATATTAAGTCTCAGAATCACCATTCTACATAATAATTTCTAAAAGTTATTTTAAAAAAGGATGCTTATGAAGAAATCCTCTATTAAAGCTTTTTTTTATTTCAGGAAACAAAACTCTGTGTGCCAGAAATCGGGAACTGCTAGTTTAACATGATGAATTTAGCATTAAAAGGAGCTGTCAGCCTTTGAGCTTATAAATCATTTTTTTTTTTGTGGGGAAGTAAGTTGAGGGCCCATACTCAAAGTTTCAAAATTTAATTTAATTTAATTAGCTTAATTTAATCTAAAATGGGGCATCTCAGTTTAAGTACTATGCAGTGCAGCACCTACTTACTTATTTGTGTGTACATTCCTAAAACATACTGCAGTGACTGAAGAGTAGCTCTGATAACTGCTTATGGCTTAGAAGAAAGAATTTTAAGAATAATGCACAACAGGCAGATACAATAAATTTTGTTGATGCAACTAAAGCACCAAGCAATGAAGCAGTATTTGAGGCTAAATAAACAGATGCAGCTACAGCTGCTGCTGGATGAGCTGGCTATCAGTGACACTGAGCTATATGAGCAATGTTTTGAGGTACTTCTGACAAAAAACTATTTTTTTATCTTTTAACATCTAACAGAAAAAAAATCCCAATAGGTCTCAGCCACCTGCTTAGTCATGCTTTCTTTCTTGCGCCAGAACCACCACCTTCCAGACTTCTTTGGCATCTTTTCTTTGACCCAAGACTCAACAGTAGCCTGAAAAATTAGACATGTTTTTAATTAGTACAGAAAAAGAGATAATCAGGTGTTACTACATACAAAATTTTCAAAGAAAGTATGCATTTATCTATTTACCTTAGGTAAACTCTTCTGAAACACCTGCAAACTCAGAATCATCGGAGCAGCCAATGCCCAGTTATAATACCTGTTTTAAAACATGTTATTGGTAAGATATTACAAAATCTACAGATCAATAAATATCAGCATGAAAAGCTTGCCTTTGTATTCATGAAAACATGTATTTGCTACCAATCACTAACACTAATATTTTCTGCAAGCAGAGTAATTTTAATATATGCAATTCAAGACCAGTGGCAATTACAGGAAAAAAAAATCTCACTTAAGCTAAAGCTAAATTTAATGCAAATTTTTGGCTCAAACAGATTCAAACACAAACTGCAATGGAAGCTGAGAAACATGCTCACTTCAGAGACAGATCTGAAATGGGATTTTCTATGACCTAATTACAAGACACTGAGAATTTACCTGTTATAAATCCGTATTACCAAATTAGGATTGTCTATGAGTCCAGGATTTTCAGCAAATTCATGATAAGTAATAATATGTTCCATGAATTTTTCTGCAATAGAAAGAGATTTTAATTAGAAAGTAATAACATAAAATCCCAAGACATCTGATTAGTTTACACCTAGGAAAACCCCTTCTGTCATTTCAGAGTGCTGATCCTGCAGCATCACTAAAGATGTGCTAATTGAGGCCTACCTGTCAAGGCCTACCTGTGACTGCCTCCTCCCTACAGAAGAAGCCTTGAATCACTTCAACAGTCACAGTAAAGAGCATTAAGAAATAAGAAGAGGAAGGATAAGGAGGAACTAATTCTGTTCAAAGGAAAAAGAAAGCCATGCTTGTCCAGGCAAATTTTCTTCCAAAATTATGACTGCAGGTAAGGGGTTTACATACTACACTAGATGAAAGGGGGAAGGGTGATGCCAGCTTTTCAGGTTTGGAAAACTACTACTATCACTCAGTAGCCTTCTCACAACTAGTTTCTATATGTGTTTGCAGAAATCCATGATTCAGCGTAAGATCCCTGCAACCAAGACATCCTTCTTTCCAATCAAATCCAGTATTGCTACCATGTTACCACAAGAACAGTCCTGAGTCTTTATTAATAAGCACCTAAATGTCACTTCAAGTATTAGGGACTGGATGACCATTTAAAAAAGTAATGTTAAAACACTGCAGTATATGTCCATAAAGATTTCATGCTCCTAAAAGCTCCTTCAAAAATATATAAACTCCAACAGTAAATAGACTAAAGTATTAAAAAAATCAGCTAGTAAAAATGTAGAGGTTAACAATCAATTAGGATAGAAGTAGATCAGAAAATATGGTCCAACACAAAGGGGTTTTTTATCACTTGAAAAAAACCTGAAAAATAAGAAAAATTGTCAGGTAATTGGAAAGAAGATGAATTGTTAAGATTTACATAGGACTAAGCAAGGACTGCCAACCAGAAACCAATGTAGTTGGTCAGATAAATAATATATAGTACAAAAAAGGAGACAGAAAGCTTCTCAAGATATCAAGTGTCCTTTATTAATATGAGATTCAATTCCGCTATATCTGCTTGGCAAATGCTTGAGAATTTTAGAAAAATTAAAGACTTTCTATCCCCTTTTCTCCATGTGAGCATAGCTAATAAGCCAAAGTTTTGTAAGGAGGAAATCTGAGCATTCAAGCCACTTCATTTGTTTAGCTGCCTGATCTCTATTCCTCTTTATGCTTTAGTCTTTCACGTACCTTTAGAAATCTCTCCATTTTCATTGAGACCTCCACAAAGTGAAAGTGTAACATCAGGCAAGTCCATAGCAGAATCAGACATGCACTCTGTACCACTATCAGCAGCAGCACTTCCCACTGACTGCGGTGACTGGGAACCAGAAAGGGTATCTGACTCTGCCCACTGCCTGAAGCCAGGATCAGAATCACTAAAGGAAAGTCAAAAGTATTTTACTTGCAAAAAAATGTACATCTTAGGTTACAGAACACACTATATGATTACCCCCCCAAAAAATCTTGCCTTTGAATTTTTTACATCATTTCACAATATAAATTTAAAAAAACCTAAGAAGAAACCCAGAAACACACACCCACACCAATCCTTCATAATATTGGCAGACTGTTTCCAGTTCTCCTAACATCCATCCTCAATTTGGCAATAATTGCATTTCTTGCCTAAATTGGATCTAAATGAGAAAAACATTCTCTGTACTCTACTTCTGCAGAATAATACTGTGCTCCTCAATCTTTACCACAAAGTTGTAAAGTAAGAAAAAGGAAAAAAGAGCACTGCTTTTAGTGTTTTTAGAATGCTGTCTGTTGCAGAATGTACAACAGAAAAGAAAAATTACCTTTAAAAAAAAATATCACATTGTCATTTAAGGTTGGAGTCACTAGTTTGATCCACTGAAAAGTTTACAATATGGCTGAACAAGAGCACTGGTACAAAAGCAGTTTAAATGTACTCCCCTCTTATGTCTGCAGAGCAAACAGGTTCCACAAAGAGGAAAACTCTAAGTAGTCACCTCCCATGTGATCTTTCAATGTGTTTCTTGTCAAATTAGAATTTTCACAATGAGGTAAGTACTCAATACTTCACAAAAGCCTAAAAACCTGAAGTCCAATTCTTTTTATCAGAACTGGCACATAAATAATATATGTAATGATGTGAGTCATGCAACTACAGAATTACCCAGATTTACAGCATTTTACTTCAAAATTACCTTTTAGGAAAATAGAGCGCTGCAACTTCAGGTTCCAAAGCCTTTAGGTCATCCAAGTAAATATCATCAGGGCCTTGGTGATGACTTCGCTTGTGCACGCCTGTTAATTTTAACAATTAAGATTACTAAGATGAAGTTACCCAGACATGTTAAATACAAATATAATCATGGAAGTTTCACACTTATTTGTATGATTTTTAAGTTCCACAGTTTCATTATAATTTTAATCACATAAAATTTTAAATAGAAAAAACTGAAAAGGCACATTTATACTTTTTCCACTATGACCTCAAGTGTGGTAGATCACACTGAGGGAAAGAATCAAGAGCTATATTCCATACCTTTCTTTTTTGAAGGAGAGTCAGTTTTTGCTGTTGGTTTTGTTTCTGGTAAAGGATCCATCAATATTCTGGACTGATGATCACCATCCATTGGCAATGGAAGTTGAGGTTCTATGATTGCAGAAGCAAGAGAGTCTTTAACATCCATCTGCTTTAGGAGCGGATGAGTTCTTGGCTCAGGTTTCAGTACTGTACAGACAGAATCTTTCACATCATCGTCATCTTCAACTTCATCAGAGCTGAGGATAACCCTAAAATGAGTCTTCTCTGATGGAGTAATGGTAGCTGTTCTGCAATGTTCCAGTTTTTCCTTCTTGCTTATCTGAAAAACACAAGTCTAGTCAATCCTTTCACTCCACCTGTTTGTGTTATTCCATTCTAAACATTAAATTTGTACTCATGGTACAAGTTCTCGTCACACAGGGAAACCAGAAAATAACTTAAACAAGTATTGTAGCAACATAAAACATGTTTCACCATATTAGCAAATTTCCCTGCAAAAGAATTTTCATAGGAGCTTATTTACAAGTTCAGTAAAGAAACTGGCATAGAGAAAGCACTGACTTGATCAAACCACAGCAAGGAGAAAGTTTAAGTGTGGATTTACCAGGGCCTTTTTAGATACCAAATTTATTCTTGTCAAGGCTACAGTTCCTCCAGAATGAAATAGAACTTACTCTACAATAAAGAAAATTAACTTCTTAAATTGTTTCCTTCAGGTTCTGACTAAAAATTTCACTGTTAGGTTTTCTGGGATTACTTTGTTGAGCAACTTTTGAACTCAACAGAGCTAACTCTCTGCCTGCCACAAGGGGCTGCTACTTCCCCAATTCAGCTGTATCTGAACAACAGCAGATTTCCAATCCTCTCCTAGGAAAGTCTTAAATATGCCAAAAGTCAGTTACAAAGTTAGAGACAATAAAGACATTTACCTTGGTTGACTCCGGGAATCCTCCCCATGTCCATTCCATGTGAGATTCAGATCTGAGCAAGCTCTCAGCAGGCTTAACTTCTAGTTCTGAATCACTTTTAGGGCAGACTTGCTCAGAGAAAGGGCTACCAAATCAATAAGAGTGGGAAAAAAAAAAAAAAAAGAAAAAAGAAAGCCAGTGTTTAAAATGCATTAATGCCATTTGTTGTCCAGCTACTGTTGGTAGAGTTTTCAACAGCTTAACAGAGCTTCAATTATTTGGCAACATGGCAAGAAGCCCAGCAGGGTTTTCAAACGGTGAGAAATTAGGTTAAAACCAAAATCACATTAAAGACATTAAAGGACTTACATAGTGATCACACAATACAGATTCCTCCACTGCATCTGCAGTGCAGAAATAGCTCTCCCTTCAGCCCATGCTCCATTTTTCAAACAAAAGAAGAACAAAACTAAAAAGTTCATCGAAAAGTATGACAGAAAATAGTTTTAAATTCCTTAGCTCTGTAAAAATCTAGCATTTCAGCTTACTATGCAGAGACTTGAATAATAAAATTCTTGCAAACATAACTGACAAGTGCACAACATCAATTCCCAGTGCAGGGAAAAAAACATTCAGAAGACAACTTTGGAAAGGAAAAGGAGATTACTTGGAAACTTCCGTCAGATGTGTTTGGACTACATGACCTTTAAAGTCCATCTTATTTTTTCTACAGTGGTTATTATCCATAAATCAGAAACAGACATCTAAAATTTACCTCAGTCAAGATTACTTTTTAGCCAGAAGAACACCCTACAAAATGCTAGAAAGGAGCGATTTCAAAATAATTTAGCACTTAGGAAGTTAGAGATTAAAGGAAACTCAAGGTTTTGTCTACCCTTCCTTGAATAGGGCAATTATATTCCATATTACAGAAATGCTGCTCTTTTTACACTTTGACATTCATAACATATAATGGTTTGGGTTTATATAAACAAACCTCAGTATTTGAATTTAAACTGTAGGGACCAGAACTGGACACAGCCCTGCATGTGTGGCCTGACCAGCACTAAGAGGAGAGGGATAATCACATCTCTGTCTCTGCCACTAATGCCCTGTGGATGCAGCCCAGGATCCAGTTTGCCTTTGCTGCTGCAGCCATGCTCTGCTGCCTCAGGCTCAGCTTGCTGTCCCCAGGTCAGCAAGGCTGCTCCCAACCACACAGATCCCAGCCTGTGTTCGGCTTTTTGGTGGTGGCATCCCAGCACATGACTGCACACTCGTCTTTGCAGTTGCTGCACTTGTAATTTGTGACTGATCTGGGTGCTAGACAATCTCTTTGAGGCTCCCTCTTCCATGAAAGCTTGGGTCAGATGAACTTTTGAGGCCACTTCCAATTTGGGTTGCTCAATGATTTAACACTGAAAATTTTAAAGTAACTCCCTACGGGTATTTAATTTATGGAATTTTTTTTCCATACAAAATTCCTGCAAGGATTAGTTACCTAATTCAGCACCACATATCAACTTTTGAAGGTTTGAGGAACTCAGGTTTTGTAGTATCATACAGGACTAAGCTGTGATCACAATTCAGACTGCAAAAATAGACATTACACAGATCACAATCCAGACAGTAAGAATCCCTCATATTGCTCTGACAGGACACCCTAAAAATCCAAGATATCAGGACATTTAAACATCTCTACAATGGTGAGTTGTCATCTCAGTTGACTTCCAGTCTTAATCACCCATGGACACAAAAAGAAAACTGGTATTTTCCCCCCTCAGTTCTCAATTAACAATGTCATACAGGAATGACACTTTCTGTACTCTGTTAGAAGGGCTTATTCAAAGTGACACACGGATGAAAATACATGTACACTTTTGTTTTCAGGAAGAACATGAACTAACTCTCCCTATATGTCAAATAATTTATTCCACCTACACAAGTCACCTGGCAGCTATGCACAATATTAACCTGTTTCTAAGACTAATTCTCAATATTCAGCAGCTCCTGCTAAAGATTGACTATTTCAGGGCTTTGGGACCCTAAGTCTATTCTATTTCCCCTCAACGTATGTTTTTCACCGTCACTCTCAGGCAGAAGTGTTAACCAAAAGGCCCATGCTTGTAATAGTGAATACTGATGGCATCAGGTATCAAATAGTTAATAGTGGTGCTTTCCATCTTACTACACTGAGTAGGACAAACAGAAGTGTCCCCACGGAAAGGACTTGTGTTATTTTCTTCCTTGAGCTCCCTGCAAGGGTTCTGAAGAGCAAGACAACCAATTGAACTACAAGTTAGTTAGCTTTTTCAGATCTCCAAAAAGGAGTTATTAAAACTTCCCATTTCTCTTCCTCTGTATGATAGCTACATGACAAAATCTTTCTTTGGTGGCTTAGGAGAAGTAATTTAAAGCAAAATTTCTCTTCTCCTAGATGGCTTGTGTCAGAGAATCCCTGACCCAACATCCTCCCCAAAGACAAAAAGGAAAATTACCAATTTCTCTATTGGATTGCAATCTGGACTGGGCAGCTTTTTGTTAAAAACAACCCCAGAACTGTGAAAAGCCCACATACCTCACATGAGGCACAAACAAGTTATTAGAGACTGGCCCCATAACACCTAAATGAGAAGAGATGCATGAATTATCTCTCCCAGATATAACCTGCTAGTCTGTGTTAGCTCAGAGTTTTATAAACTGAAAACAAGTATCAGCCTCCATGCTACAGTCATCTAGGTGATATAATCCATACAGCAACGTGTCAGTCCTAAGGGTCAAACACTGTGACTGCTTTTCAGTCACAAACCACAAACCTTTGGGGAACATTTCAGGACTGCATCTCATTAAGTGTAATTGAGGATGTGGTTGTCAGTCCAAAACATAAAAAGGAATGATAATGGGATTTCCTGTCCAACTGCTTCTGTTCATTAACAAGCTATGCACTGGGGGAATTAGCAGGCACCAAGCATGGTGTGGTACATTCTGACTCCACTGAGGCCAAAGGCCTGCTAACACCTGAAGCAGAGAGATCATACACACTTCAAAAAATATTTGCTGAAGGTTGAACTTTTCCATTCTGCACCACCTATTGATGCAGAAGGACATGTACCTGTGCACTGAGCAGGTAACAAGCAACAAAAGCCATCATGGAAGGCTGTAATCCTCACTGACATTGTGAATGTACCTGCTATGAGGCAAATTCCTCCATCAAACTGAAAAGCAGTACAACCAGACACTTGCCAAAGAGTGCAGATAAATCAAGACACTACTTAGCATGCTCTGTGAGACATATATGCCCTCTCCTGTATGTCCAAGGTTCAGGAAAAGTACAAAATTTACCTAAAGTACTACCACATATGCACAAAATGCTTTCTTATGAATCTGGAAATCGAGGTTAGAGTGGTAAAATCCAAAGTGTGAGCCTTGAAAAATTACAAACTGAATGCAAGAGGAATAGCATGAACATCAGAATGTACTGAAGAATGTACATACAAAAGGTCACTGAAAAATAACTGGGAAGTTGTATTATGCCATTTTTAAGAATCCACAGTGACCTGATGATGATTTCACAATCTCTGGACAAAGAAAGATACCAGAACTCCAGCAAATCCCCTGTTCTGAAGTAGAATATGATTCAGCTTCAGGATCTGGCTTTACCTTGAGCAATTAGGATTACTTCACACAGCAAAATGTACCTTAACATACCCATCACTTTTGTGTTCTGGCAGATCAAGTATTGCTTATGCTAGGGTGAATCATAGGGAACATACCAACTTTCCATACCCTTCTCAGCTTGAGGGAGACTTGTTAACTGTATTTTCTCTCTTTAACAGTGAAATAATACATTTTGTCAATTTCCCAAAGTTTCAAATTAGTTTCAAGTGTTGCATTTGACATCACAGAAGCTGGGCAAGTTCAATAGTTTTACAGATGAGGGGGAAAATTAGTAAAAAGGCATAGTAATTTTTTTTTTTATAATTACTCATCATTACACAAATGATGACATTACAAAGTGACTTACTTCTCCAGAGGGGACCAGTCTCCATCAGATAACGGGTAATGGTCTTTTGAATGATAAATCAAAGATTCTTTTTGTTCTTCACCCTTTGGTGATGAATTTGAGGATCCTCTGTGGAGACACATAAGACATTAAGTCAGCTATAAGAAATCTGTGTTATTAATTCAGTAAAAGAAACTACATAGATGTTATTAAAAAAATCTAAGAGCAAAAGTAAGGAGTGTACTACTCTACATGAATAATGATTTTACTCTACACAGGCAGATAACAATAACAAAATACAAAGATGAACATAAACTTTTACACAGTGAACTTTACTGTGTGAATTTTACAATCACTGGAAAAGTAGAACTAGAAAGGTTAGTTTTGACAATGTACATTTGACAAATTAAAACAGTAAGAAACCAGGGGTAGGTACTAGCATCACAACTTACCCAATAGCTTACAGGTTAGCATCAACTACAACAAGGAGATAAAATAATGCACTTTTCTGAACAGTGAGGTTTGTTTTGCACTGGGAAGCCTACTCAGCATCTACATCAAAGACCCACACCCAACCAACAGTAAGGCCCACTGAACTTTTATTTTACACAGAAGCCCCCTATTTTACACAGAAGTCCCCTTGAAATATTACCACCAAAAAATACTTCAGATCTTTTAACAGCTTTCTAAATTTAACTAAACAAATACCTATTCTCAGGGTACAACTAACATGTCTGAGGTTAGATCAAGGGCATCATGGCTATACCGTAGATAAGAATACAAAGAAGACATGACTGGAATTTAAGTGCAAAATGCAACAGAAATTATTTTAAGCCATTATTATGAAAGAAAAACCTATTTTTATTCCAGTGCACAGTTGCACTGGATTTGTTTTGGAATGCTAATGCTTATTTCTCTTATGGATGGAGGAAATAAAACATTCTGCTATTTTCAAATGTGTACATATTTAGAATTTGCATGCCTACTCAATTAGACACCAAGCAGTTACAGTGATCTACCTCATTTGCACAAGTCTTTCATTTGGAAGACTGTCTAGGTTATGGTAAATGCTGAAGTCTAAAAATGTTTTTTAGCTCCACTTCTTATTCTGCAGTAGTATTCTTATGAAACCTGATGATGCTGCCTGACTTAAGATGAGAACTGCAGAGACTGTACATCCTTTGTATTCATAAACTAAGCGAAGTGTGAAAGAAATGTGTTTCACACTACCTTTATTGGCAGTACTAAGTATCTCCAAAGGAGGAAAAAAAAGTATGATTGAACAAATAAGTAAACACACAAAAAAAAAAATCAGATGTCCTCAATATCTTTACTTCAGTGGGGAGGGAGGCAGGATGACACATGGGTGGTACTGAACAAATTTTATTCACTGGAGATTACCAACAAGAAGGGTTCATACAAGGGATGCGAAAAATCAAATTTACCTGGTAAGTGGATAAACACAAAAGTTAAATATCTAAATGTAGTCAAAGAATATTGAAAATATAAGGGGAAAAATTAGTATGCATCAACTTCTAACTTCAAGCTGCACTATCAACTCTAAGCTATTTATTTTGTAACATTTATAAATACCACTACCACATCTTCTCCTTGTTGTCCACTTTACATATAGTCTAAATAAATGTACATGATTTGAGAGACAGATAACCACCTTAACCCTTTAACACCCTTAGCACTGGAGAAATAATGTCCTCTATTTTTGAGTTGTCCATACTGTAATCTCAGTTTTCCTAATATTATTTTATGTAAGTCCAGCATTACTAACATATCTAAATCATAGCTGGAAAAGACAAAGAACATACTTTGAAAAAAGCTGATAAACACTTGGCAATAAATTTTCCCAAGAAACAGGAAACAGCTTGTTTTCTGCTTTATAAAAAACCAAAGAGATAAGACATTATCACTGGCACCTGTGACTGAATTTTTGACCTTCCTGTTAAAACATCAGCCTCCCTTTTCCTTTCCTAGTTTCACTTTGAAACCTGAAGCCATGCCCAAGAACAGTTAAGTTTCTAATTTCTTATCTTTCGTCTTCCTTTTCAGAGCCACACATTTATAACTAAAAAAAAACCACCCAAGAAACAACCAACCAAAACAACATAACCTCAAACAAAACTACTGATACCACCTTACACCCCCACAGGGTTTGAAGAGAAAACTTACAAACACTTTTTCACAACTGTAACTTTAGCTGGGAAGCAAACAAATGCATGCCCGTTGCAAGGCATTTTATTTCCTGCCCTGGTAGCTCACTGAAATGAGTTTATAGAAACTTGACTGACAGACAGCCACGAACCTAATGTATTTAGGCCTTCACCATTACAAAGTTTTTATTGTTTCAGTTTTGCATTCACTTGCTGCTCACAAGAAAACACCTTTCTTTTACAAAATCATCTTCCTTTTGCTTTATAACACGCTGTCTGATAATGTACTTCTATTGCTGTTTCTGCTTATACACATTAAAAAAAAGTTTAGAAATAAAAAGCCTTGCCAAACTTTCATTATAAAGAATAGAAATAATAAAACCAGAATAAACTTGATGAAAACACCATGGTCTGTTCAGCTATGACTAAACATTCAACATTCTGATCAAACACATCATTTTTATTCACCTCTAGACAAAGTAAGATAATTGCTAGAATAGCAATCTGAAACCTAAACACTGGATGAAAGCAGCCATTATTACAGCCATTACATGTCATTCCTAAATACTTCATACATTTGTAATGACATGTTAAATAAAGAAAAAACAATTATTGGGTTATATTTTCTCTCTTCCTGTACTTGACAGTTATTTTTGATGGTTTTTACTATGACAAGTTAATTTTTGTCATCTTAATAACTGCATGCTAAAGACTAAGCAAAAGGTCTTCCTTTACTTAAACTGGGAAAAAAAAAATCAAACCAAACAAATGCCAAGACTTAAACAGAACAGTGAATATCTAAATGATAATTCAGTGACATAAATATGACACTAATAAAATAAGGCAAATTAAGAAAGCCACAGACACACTAAAAAACACTTTAAAATCCAGATTTTGTTTGTTTTGTATTACTGGTCATAGGCATGATAACAGATTCATGTTTTCCTGTTGCACTAACCTTTTTGTCTGGTACTTACTAAATTTGAGTAACTTACAAATCTCCTTTGAAGATCCATACTGAAGGACTTTTTTCAGTTGCTTTTTAGTCTCTTAAACCAAAACATTCATTCAATTCCCAGACCTGACCTTGAATTTATTCAGCCAGTACTACATTTAACAACAATGCCATCCAGTGAAACACCTAACTTTCTTGAAAACCAAGTCCTGAAGAATAGGCTTTTCCTGGATTTGAAGCATTTATATGCTTGATAGCTTTCATTTATAACCTTCATCTTTCCTTCCCTATCTTACCCTACAGAACTCTTCAGCTTATTAGTATGTGCTACCACTTTAGCACAAGCTCCTCTTTACTAAGAATTTATCCACCTCAAAATACAGGATTGATATTTTTTCCTCTTTCCCCCTCTCCACCTTCTTCACTCATGTATAAAGAATTCTTCTTACTAACATGAAGGGACATTAATTTAAATAATTTTCAGCTGCCATGGCAAACTTCAGGTTAATGAGAAGCCAAATTCAGATGTGGTATGCTACAGGCATTCCACACTGCAGCATATCTAGAGGCTACCAGACACCAGAAGATCACTCTGCCTCATCAGAGAAATTGCACTGAAACTTTCTCACTCACAACAGATCACTGCAACACTTCTTCACCAGAGTAGGCTTAACTGCATTTAATTAAATGCAGTTAATGAAATGCTCATTAAAAAATGGCCCAATTTTAAGGTGAATCTGTGAAGATCTGGAAGATGCCTGTTCGGAGTTTAGTTTGTTTGTTGTTTGGTAGGCAGAGCCTATCAAAATTTGTGCAATACTTGCATGGAGGAAATGAACAAGCCACCTTTTAAATGTCCAGTGGTAACTGTGAAAACAGCAACTATCTAAGAGCTTACCTTAGGGGCTGTACACTTTTCTCATCATCTGAGCTTATTTCCATTTCAAAAATGTCTTCAGTCCCAGCAGAAGAGATCTGGTCTTCTTTCCTGCTATCTTGTTTGTATTTCTTTCTTCTTCTTTTTTTCTTTTTCACAGAACCTGGGGTGAATACAGTCTCTGTTTCTCCAGAATGTGGAATTTCTGAGTTTGCACATGTCCTCTCATTTTCTCCTGATTTCAAATGACTGTCAGTGTCTTTAAAAAACTGATCTTCAGTGGGTATTGGAGATGTTGCCAAATAAGCAGGAACTTTTTCCTAGGGAAGAAAAAAAGAAAAAAAGGCTACTTTTTCTGCTTTGTTTTGTGCACACAGGGTAGTTGTCAGCTACAGATTAATCCTTGTACCTATATATAGACACAAAGATGCCCAATGGTATGAAGATGATATCTAGAAAGGAACCAAGTTCATCACAAGAATGATTACAAAAAGTTCAGGAAAATGCACGCTACTATTCTTACAGTTTTCAGGCACAAACAATTGATTTTGCCAGCAAAGCAAACAACCAGTCAGTGGAATGTTTTTGAAGTTATCTGCCCTGAGCATGCCAGTTCCAGGCTCATTAAATGGGCTAATAAAAAAAAGGGCTAATTAAATCCACTGCTGTTTATTTTGAAACAGATTCATGGGAAGGTACAGGTTGAAAGGGACATCTGGACACCATCTGGTCCAACCTTCTGTCAAAAGCAGGGCCTCAGGTTAGGTTATCCAGGACCTTGTCAAGCCAAAGGTTGAGTATTTCTGGTAAGGGAGTCTATCACTTCTCTAGGCAACCTATTCCTGCTTTTGTACAGAAGGATTTTCCTTATACCTAGCTGATATTTTCCCCATGACCTCTGCCCTATCTTATGGCTAGACAGCTTTGTGAAGAGAGTGTCTCTGTTCTGTAACTACCTTGTAGGCACTGCAAGACTGTGGTTAGATTTCCCTGAATCCTCTCTAGGCTCAATAGAATAAGGTCCAGCAAGTTTTTTTGCTATTTCAATTTCTCCAGCCCCCCACTGGGCTCTTTCCAACTTTCCATGTCTCTCTTGAACTGGCAAGGCCAGAACTGTGTTCAGGTTTGATCTAACACACACCAGGATGAGCAGGACAGCCCCACATGCCTTCACCTGCTGGCTGTGCTATTGCTGATGCTACCTGGGATGCATTTGCCCTCACTGCAGCCTGGGCACGCTGCTGGCCAGGTGATGCAGAGCTGCATTTCATCCAGTCAGATCCAGCCTGCACTGCTGTGTGTGCCAGCTCACACTCCCAAGCCATACATGAGACTGCACGTGCATCTTGGTTAAAGCTTGGTGTGAATCTTGTTGGTCCAGTCTCCCAGCCTGCCAAGCTGGCTCTCTGTGGTGGTTCTTTTTCTGACCTGTGTACCTCTCCTCTCAGTTCAGTGTTACCCACAAAATTATAAAGGTGCCTTCAGTCATATCATACATGTCAGACATTATTTATGCAAAGTATCTTTCAAAAAGAAAAAGTCAACTATAATTTACTCACCTTAAAACCAACATACAAACAACCAGCCCTCAACTAATTACAATCCACTGCCCTTTGAAGGAAAAGCTTCAACTATGGACTGCCTGAGGTTTATTTACATTGTAACAAGAAACTGAAAAGACACTGACACCTAGTCTGAAAGAAACATCGTGCAGGGACAAAGACAAGATGGAACAAAGGCAGAAGAGAATAGAATTTGCATAGTGAAGAGAAAAAGTTATGGAACTCAATTTCATGGTAGAGAATAGAAGTAATTACAAGATGTCTGTTATTTTACTGGACTCTTGTGCAGAAGGTTAGTCAGGAACACTGATGAAACACAGCCAGAGCATTGATACTACTTTTGATGTTCTCTAAGTCTTGTCTGCTATTGAAAACCAAATTCAAATTTTCATTGAATGAAGAGTTACAGAACAAATTTTGTTCCACTGGTTATAAAGTAGAGTGAAGTAGAGAAAGGAGAACAAAATACAGCCTTATGCAACATTGATGACACACAGATTTTGCATTAAGAAAAACCTTGAAATCAAATGCCAGCATCTAAACTGAAGGTAATATTCTGCACAATTAGTGATAAGTAACCAAGAATAACAAAATACATTAAAAAAAAACACTCAGAAAAAGTTAAAAGAAACTGGCTGGAAAATTGTCCTGATTTACATGGACAGTGGTATTTATGTGGTGAGTGGAATTACCTCTGATTGTCAAGATGTGAAAAATGCAAAGACTGATCGTTTAAAGGAGCTTTCTGAATGCCCTCAAAGGGGCAAAAAAAAAAAAAGAAATCAATGAAAGGTTTGTGATTTATCCCTTAAGCAGAGCTTCAAGAGGCAAACAAATATGTTGATCAGTTGCAGGGGGAAAATGCCTAAAAGCAGTAAAAACAACTCAGTTTTGCTTTGTAGCAAATTTAATCTATATTATCAGCATGAGTTACCAGCTTTCAAGAACACATTATACACAGTTAAAGCACTCATGTTATAAATAAAAATGTACTATCCAAGTGCAATAGCTCCTTTAAAAGACTTTACTGGGGACAAAGGCAGTTATCACCCTTCCTTTCTGAAAGTCTGATCAGTTCCCATCAATGTCTGAAACCACCCAGACCTGTAAAAAACTGCTTTCAGTTTTTATTTTAATCATAGTGTACACTGACACAGAACCCAACCTTCCTCTTGTGCAGGTGTTACAAAACCCTACCCCAAGCTCATTTGGGGTATTAATGCTTATTTTTTCCTTCCACTTGAAATTGTATTTAATTGCTTTCAATATGAGAGCTTCCTCTGATCCCCCAAAGTAAACAAGTAGCACTCTCAACTAAAAACTGGATCAATCTCATTTCCTTGAAAGACTGATTCCTAATAAACAGGAAATTAACGCTTTATCTTTTACTTCTCTGTGACAACTTTTTTTCCTCTCTTTTCTGACTATTTTTCATTAAACCTTTTGGAACCTTTTTAGAACTACTTTCCTTCAGGCTTGCTGAAAGATGCCAAGAGACTCAAATGCAATCAAAAGCAATGCTCAGGACTGATCAATACTGTGATTACATATTTCCCATATCCTTACGAAATCAGAGTAAAAATGAACCATTATTCCTGTTTTTCAGAGGCTCATTAGCTTCCAGTTGGCAAAAGATTCTTGTGAAATAAATTCTTAAGTCAAAGAAGTTACTGTTACCTGGTGAAATTTTCATAAATAAAATTGTGAAAAACTAGGCTAAAATTTGAGACAAATTAAAAATATGCCCAACACCAGACTACCTTTATTAGTAGAAGCACAAACAGTAATAACTCAAAGCAAAAATTATTGTAAGACACAGCAATCAGTATAACTGCAGTCAACAGGAATGAATTATGTAAAACAAAAAAAAAGAAAACTTCAGGACATCTTCCAAATAATGCTCTAATTAATGAAAATAATTAGTTACTTTATTCTTACTGGCAGCAGAATTGTAAAAAGCATCAACATCTTGGCAGCATATGAAAAAGATGTTAAGATTCAGTTACAGAAAACCTAGCTTTCACAGAAGTGAGGATATTGACAACACTGTATGAAGCACTTTTAACCCATTACTGTGTTATTACTACATTGCAGCCATCAAGAAGCACAAAGTCCTTACATTTTCCTCCTCGGTTTCTTGCACAAAGAAAGCTTCTCCGTTGTCACCCAATTTCATATGCAGATCAACAGCATCGCCATTAATTTCTATATCAATCTGTGGAAAGAGAATTTATTGTAAGTAATTCATCATGGGGAAAGTGCTGACCTCATGGTCTGCTTAGCTCTGAGAGTAAACTTTGTTTCACTATATAAGGGTGTCCCTTCCTCCTCTTTCTGACACAAGCCTGTCATAATGTTCTTTAATTCGTTCACCTGCAAAATACATGACGCTCCTGGCAGAGAGCCTAACAACCACAAGAAAAATAAAAAAAATTAAACTTGATATAAAGACTGAATCTTGTTAATACAATTATTGATATATTCTTTATTTGATGGAAAAACGACTGAGACTTTTCAGATGTTTAAATCCCTATCTGAATTGGGGCCTGGTATGAATCTGAATCCTGAGCACCAGAAGTTCCACCTGGAGGCCTCCTGGAGGCAGGCTTTGTCTGAAAGTGATAAGAGACTTGCCAATTATTTCTGCAACCAAGTTAGTGTTTCAGATTTTCCTGCTCATGAGTTTATGGGGGTATGACATAGGGCCACAACCCTTCTGCAACCATAGTGTTTTCATCAGAGAATAATGTTTTTATTATACTAAAAAGGTACTTTTTCGCCAAGAAAAGCCAGTATTGGTATTGGTAAATAACCAAACATGCATGGGAACTATACCCAAATCGTTAAGATAATCACTTTTCTTCTTCTCCACAATAACAGACTGATTTTGATGTGAAAACCATATATATTTCACTACTGTTTATTTTTTAAATATTTTCTTGTATTTCAAATTCAGCAACACGAGTTTAAAAAACCTCACCTTTGCTTTATACTGGTTTAGACATACAAACATGTCTCAGTTTAGTACCTATACCTCACACTGGTTTCTGGAGACCTCCGTATTTACCTGAAATTGAAGCATGGATACACATGCTTTGTGTTCCCACACATCTTGGGACTACAAATTGATCTTGGCCTCATAACATGCCAGAGAAAAATGCATCCACAATACAGTAACAAACGCAGCTGACTATTGAGAGAACTGTGTGAACAATAACTCCCAGGATGGAGGAAACAAGGAGCAGGAGTCATCTACACAAGCAAAAGCTGAGAATTACACTGACAGTCTAGTACAACAGGGACCAAAAGTAGATGTTTCTACTATTCAACAGCTTTTTAGTGGTATCCATAAGCTAAAAACCTCTCAAATTTGGTTCAGCTACTCAGAAGTGTGTAAAGACATTTAACAGCCTCTAATTTCAGACACTCTTGTTGTAAGCATATCTCCCTTGCCTAGATGTCAGAAAAAGTACAGCTATACCACCTCTTTTGTACCCCATTGAAAACTGTAATGTAATCTGTTACAACATGTTGAGGTAAATAAATTCTTTGTCATCAGCAAGCTCATTAAAATAAACACTAACAAGTGGGAAATCAAACAGGAAATAAACACAAAGCCTGCTACTCACCTGGGTTACTATGACAAACATGCAACTTTAATGTATGTAACTCTAACTATTGACCTTTAACAAAAAAATGCCCTGACCTAATTGCTCATTCAGTTTCATTTTATTCACTTTTTACAACCAAAATATAAAGATAGGGGTAGCTTCCTGCAATAACCATTTACTCCTTAAAAAAGCAGAATATAATCCTGAGGGTTTATGTCCTGTTTAAATCAGCTCATCTTTTAGTAGCACATCCACATGCCATACACAGTACTCCTTACTGACAGTAAAGTCCCCCTGAAACAGCTCCATTTTTCAGCCAACCCAACTCACTCTCTTGGCATGATTAACAAAGCCTATGAGAAGGGGATGGAAGGACAACCTGCTTGGGTAGCACCATCTCAGAACGGCTGGATGGGAAATTGTACCAGGTTCTCTTTCAAACATGCCTACACAGGAACAAAGCTTCAGTCTCAGTTTTCACTTGCCTGTGGATTTTAATAACTGCATTTTTTATTGCAAATCAGCCTAGAGCACAGCTACAAGCAATATTTATAACAGGTCACCAACACTTAACATCTGCTCTGTTAGTCCTTCAGACATTCCAAAAAGAGTTGCTTACATCAGGGATCAGTTAAATAACATTAAGCATTTCTTTCCCAGCATACTCGGATAAGTAAACAAATAGCCCCATGTAAACATTTTAAAACTGTGAAGTCTATATATTGGTATTTGTCTTTTTGCATAGGCCCAGAGCTGTCACAGTTTTTCTTTCACAGCATTTTTGCAGAGTCCTTAGATAACCACAAGAAGTTCTGTTTTGCATTCTAAAACCACCACCCTGTACAGCATTCATGAGCAACTGTTCTAGACTGAACCAGCCTGCTAACTGGGAATGTGGGGAGCTGGGGAAGGAAGGAAGAAGGGTAAAAAAAGGAATGAACTGGTCCTCAAAACTTTGTTTTGGCCCACTTCCTGAACTCACCACTTTCTCTTTCGAGCGCAGTACACCAAGCTTCCCGAAGCGGACGTGGAAAGGGGAACACTGGAATGTCCCATCCTGCTGCCGGACCACGATGACATCGATGCAGCCCGACAGGGTTGCCTGATTAATGCCTTTGTACAGCTCCTTCACAGTAACCAGGACTTGTCCTGCAAGCTGCCCCACGTAGTTCATAGTCTGAGACTAAGGGAGAGAAAGACAAAAAAAAAGTAAATTTAAAGCACAGTAGGTATTTTAATTTTTAAAAAAACATTTTTATAGATGAGCAATTTATCAATTTATATATATGTCATTTATCAATTACTCTACTGTAACAAGCTTTATACAAATGCTTTCAAGAATCAACAGAACTTTGAGGCAATCCTCATATTACTAAAAGTATCCAGAGTTATAAAACTTACTCCTAATGCTTTATCAACTTGAATCTACCACTAATTAAGTACTTCAAATAAAATTCTGAAGGACGTCATTTTTAGACCTCAAAGCCTAGATTTAAGTGATGCTTAATAACTCAGGCTAAAAAGAAAAATTCATTCTCCAGAGGACTGCCTGTTTAATACAACCAATCCTATATGGAAAATGGAGATAATTGTACATAAGGATGCAAAAAAAAAATCTTTACAAGTCAGGAAAAGGTATGTAGAACATACTGCACGTAACTCTTCCCTTACAGCTCTGTATTTCAGAAACAGCTGAGTCATCTTCGAGAAATTATCAAAGTATGTAATGGGAGAAAAGATACATCAATAAGATTATGCTACTGTAAACAGGATAAAGAGCACAGAATCACTTACTGAAAATTTTGTCTAATCCATTAAAAATACTTAAGTAAATGAATGAATTCTGAATGACTGCAAGTCTTTCAGACTAAGAACACAATTTGAACTAATAAGAAATGAAAGTCCAAAGATTTCTCAGAACATCTGAGCTTGAACAGGAAGAGGAGGGAAAACTGTGAAAAAATTCGATAGAAACCTAAGTGCAACTCTTCTTCATCCTACCTATCATCTTCTGCCTCCCACCCTAAAGTCTGCTACAAGCTCATTTAAAAAACATCCAAGCAACTGCAGCCTCTGAAGTTAAAGATATTTAGGAGAACAAAGAACCACTGCCAACAAGCAAAACCCATAACACTGAACGCATAAAAGAGCCTAAATTATATATATTTTTTAAAAAAAACTATTTTGGGATATTATTTCTAGAAAAAATCTACAATGATTTTTTTTTCTTGTTTGCATTTCTATTTTTATTAGTCATTGAACAAGGTTTAGGATTCTTCTTAATACCTCTAAACAAAACCATACTGCATTACAACAGTTCTTCCAACTGATACTGCTTAATTGTCTATATAATTGTTATATATAATTGTCTATATAATCAGTTATTCTTTTTTGAGCCTCCAAAGTCTTCCTTACAGTAACACAGGGTATCTTACACTCACTCAAAAGCGACCATTTTTGTGGCATCTCTATACTGATAGAATTTAAACAGGCAAGAAATCTAAAACTACTTTCACACAGCAGCTATGGAAACATTTTTCTCCATCTCAGGCTTCTCATACATTACTGAATCATATTAACGTTTTTTAAACATAATTCCTTCCTCTTCACAAGACTTACAAAGGAAGGTGGAGGGTTTTCAATACAGATTTACCAGTGTCTTGAAATTATAATAGAATTACTGTGCTAGGCTACATGCTAGAGAACTTTTTCCCTGCAGCCTGCTGATGAAGACAAAAAGAACAGACTGTCATTGAGTGAGTAATGAGATTAGGAGGATGGACTCTCTATCAACATTAGTCATTAATTCAGTTTCATCTGTAAGTAGCTTCAGGTACAACTATAAAACTGATTGCTTGATAGTGAAGTAATAGCTCACTCCTGCTAAAGAGGGAAGGTCTCACTTCAACCTTTCCTCATCTGACCCTCTTAATGAGCTGATTTTAGCTCCCTGACACAGCTGGGAAAAGTCTACCATTTTTGTTGTTTGTTTCAGCAGGTTGTTAGTAAGTTAGATCAGTTCATTAAACAGAACATGACAAACACCTGAGTCATGAGGCCCTGAGCAGCACCAGAGAGCTAAGGGGGGGGGGGGGGGGGGGGGAAAGAGGCAGGGAACTGAACATCTTTTTGATAAGTGAGATACTTGCCGCATCTCATGGAACTGTAACTCAACACAGAGATGTTACAGTATCTCTGCTTTCCTGTAGAAGCAATTAGTCTTCACCTAATACGACAGCCATGTTTGAACTTAATCTCATGAAAAAAGAAAATCTTTAATGCACAATCATTATCATTCACGGCTCTAACTTGGCCACTTCCAAAAGCTGTCTACAGTATCAGCTTAGAAAGAAAAGTTGATTTTGTGTCACCAAGGAGACTGCATTTGTTAAAATAAATGTTTGACACAATCAGGAATAAAACTCTTCAACAGGATCCCCATTCCGGGTATTTCATTTCAGTGAACAGGACTTGAGAAGTGGGCATTAGCAAGAAATTCTCTAAGATTTAAGCAGTGACTTCTTAAAAGATCAAAATTTCACACCTTCTGCTAAGAACTGAGTTCAGATGATAAATAACCTAGTTTTTCTCACATACATGCTAACTTGACCATAGAAATTCACCACACAGCCCACACAAGACCAAAGCATTCACCCATTTTACACATATTCTTGCCTTTCTGTAGCAAAAGTATCCTGTAGCAATGCTCTCTCTTCTACAGGTATCAGTTTCATTTCTGTTGCTCATAGCACAGCCACTTTTATGAACATACATACACTGAATAACCTCGTACATTTGAAAGTTCATAACCCGTTCACTCTTACATCTGGAAAAGTCATGAACTTTTGTACCTAGTAAGTATTAAAAACATTGCTTATAAGGAAAGTAGCTTTTTATGATCCAAGTCTCAATGTTGTTTTGTACATTACAAGTAAACCGAAGAAGATAAAGGTAATAAACTAATGCACACTATTGCTTACCAGGCTGCAATTCAGCTTTTAACATAATGATTCACTTGGCAAGATAAACCTGTTATATATGAAGGTTCAAACTATAGCAAGAAAATGATCAAATAGAAATGAAGTGTCACTACATACCTGAGAAACACACCATTTTATCTCAAATGTCAACAGAAGCCCAGCTGGGAGATTTTAACATTTGCGGGGCTAGGAATGGGTTTTAGCTTTGCTCGGGTTTGTTTGTTTTCCTTAAATGTTATTGTATATTGCTGGAAAACTTGTGCTGAACAAGTACAGAATCAGACTACAGCAAGAAAGGAATGGTGTAAAATGTTATTGTGTTAGTTTTTACAAATGCAATAGAAATATCCTGATCACAGCATAACCAGTAAGACAAAATATTTCCTTGATAATACTCTTTGTTTCATGTTTAGTAACCATTTCTTAAATATCACTGCCTTGAAGGCAGAGAGCAGTATGCCTTCCTAACCTCCTATAAAAACCTAAAAAGCATGCTGATTGCTAGTTTAGAAATTCAGGACAAAAGCCTGATGGAAAAGACAAACTAAGAAAGGCAAGGCAGTAATACTTCACAATGCTGTTTGGTTTGCAATTTTTATTTCTTTCGATATCCAGAATCTATACATTGCCTGATGCAGTGAAATTCCAGAACTCTGCATAAAAACAGAGGTCAAGGCAGCTCACTACTACTTACTCTTCTCAGACAGCAAATTAAAAGGCTATGAATACCTGAGGTATATCAAAGTAGAAACATTCTTTGTGACTTCTGAGGCTTCAGAGAGACTGATTTTTGAATATTTATGCAATGCTACCTAGTTTACAAAAATTCTTACAGCTGAATATATTAATACCACTAAGGTAAGTGCAACTGTAATTGGAATGGGGGAAAGAATCTCTATGCCATATCATGAAAATAATTTTTTTTCTGGCAATAAGCCATTGCACTGCCAAAAGCAGAAACTGAAACTGCTTTGGTTTTTTAACTTTCTTTTGCTGAGAGAGCATAAAAGTAAATACAAAATAAAAAATATCTACTTCAGCAGTTCAATAACTAAAATGCCTCCACTTATAAAATACTCAAATCAGTGCAACTAAAATTAACACTAAATATGCTGTTTGACTTCCTCATGTTATAGCAGTGGCTCTCAAAAATAATAATTAAACAGTACTCCACCTCAGAGTATCTGATATGCTTTACATGACAAACAAGACAAAGTTTCAAAACTCATTGCCACGAAATGCTTACATTAGCATATCCTGAGCAGGAGGTTTTGTGGATAGGAATTATATCTCTGTACCATTAACAAAGATGTTATTTTAGCTGCCACTAGACCAACATGTTTAACATTTTTTTTGTGTTATTCAGTAATATCCATATAGAGGTGCAAGATATAATCAAAAGTCTGTGCACAATAGGTGTTTTCTATGCATATGGAGAACTACTTTACTAATGGTAAACTGCATGTTTTGAGTTCTTAAAGCCATCACCTTTTATACAAGTGCACCCATATGAACGTGCCTACTACAAGTGCTTAGCTAAACAGGAGAAAAAAGAGTGCAAGTTACTCAAAGGCAAAGTTTCAGATTGCTCTAGACAGCTACAACTTTAAAGGGCATGAATTTTAACTATCACTCAAAAAAAAAAAAAAAGTTACTTAGAAGCAGATCTTAGCTTCCAGTAGCATAGATATTCATACACTCCATTTATTTTGAGATACATTTAGAGGGTTCAAATATGTCTATTGCCACATGATTTAAACAGCAAATAAGCTGTATTTCTTTCAAGAGATTAGGCAGAATAAAATAAAAAACATGTAGAGCAGTGGTTTACCTCAATTTATCTCACTTTGCCTATATTTGCATACATATAAATTTATGAGGCAGAAGCTTTCCTTAATCAAGAAAATCTTCAGAAAGTGTTTTACTAGTTTCTACTTTGTACTCTGAAAAAACTGGGGGGGAAATGACCCTGTCAAACAGGACCACTGTAGCATCAGCTCTACTCAACAAAAACATCTTTGTTCCCAAGTAAAGATTTTAATTGGGGGTTTAGGATTGCTCCTAGTACTGCACAGAGCAGTTATGGAACAAAATCAGGAAACAAAGTAAGTCTGTTGAATGCCTAATTAAAGTCTTCCACATACTATTAAATATAGACAGTCAATTTTTATATATTTTAACTGTGTTATAGGAAATTATATAC